TATATATATATATATATATATATATTGAACGCTAAAAATATTTTTTAAATTGCATACCCAATCAATTAATCTTGATTTTTTTTAAATTACTATGTTTATTTTTTATTAATATGCATAAAATAAAAATAAATAATTCATCTTTAGACATATAATTTATAATCTTAATATACTATCATTTGGTGTAGACATATGAATCATAAAATTTTTTAATTTCATAAAATTAAATATTATATTTAAAGAAAATAAGGAAATTACTTTGGATCAATCGGGTGATTGAATTAGGGTACTGTCCATGTTGATTTGAATTACTTTTAAGTGATATTTAAAATAGTAAAAAAACTTGACACAACTTGGTTGGTCTCAGGTAACTAAGTTATGTATCAGTTTGACCAGACCAAATCATTGAACCTAAATATAAATTTTAATATTAAAAATACTTTATTGAATGTGATGTAGTCCAAACCTTAAATAATCATACATCATTAATGATTTATGAATATTTATATATAAATTTATTATTATTTATGTGAACAAAATAATTATTCTATTATAATTTATATTAATGTACGGTAAATATAAGGTTTTCAGAACCGGACCGTCATCGAAACGATCAAGTTATTTTATTAAATCATTTGTGGTTGTTCATATTTTAATACATTATACTTTAGTATATATATATATATATATATAGTACCTTTTGTAGTAAATTTAAATAAAAATTGTTACTTAAATATCTAAACAATTTATAAATTCAAATGTTTAAACTAATTGATAAACAATTTATAAATCTCTATTTTATTTAAATATGTAATTTTATTTAAAATAATTTTTAATGTAACAAAATTTGTTTAGAAAATCCTATCGATCCTATCAGTCCAACAGACTGGTGTTGACGGATTCGACAGCAAATATTTTATTCAAGCGCACTAGACTGGTTATAAACCGGGTCTCGGTCCATCCGGTAGGACTGTGTCCAACCCGATTTAATTTAAAAATAATAGGTAAATCATGATTAATGTTATTTATTTATTTAATTTATAATACAATCAAAATATTATTTTCCCGTGCATCACACGGGAAACGCACTAGTTAAGGAGAAAAAGAAAAGGCAAAAGGCAAAACGAAATTTAATGTAGTAACACATGCGAGAAAAAGGAATTAAAGAGAAGGAAAAGAAAAAAAAAATATAAAGTCAATAAATACACCCTCCATTAACCCGCCACTTGATGTACAAGACAAAGTTCCACATTGAAATTTTACGGAAGGTGAGTCATGAGTGTGAGTTCTTCTATGTGTTTTGCTTATTAAAATGGTGTGTTGTAAAGCAATCAAACTATCGCATGGTTCATCATTCTATTTGTTATAGTCTAAAGATCATTCTCATTGAGTGGTGTGTTTACTCAATCCCAAAATGGTGTTTCGAACCCTCATATTCAAGCTTAAATGAGATCTCATACTGACCATAAGAATTGTCTTCTTTAGTTCGCATCCCCTGTTAATGTCCCCATATTCAATTAACTGTAAGGATTACTTATGATTGAGTGTTTATACACTTATATGTTGTTAAATATCAATTTTTATTTCATTTTATTCGAAGGCCCACTTACTAAGAATATTCGTTAGGGTTATACTTAGAGTTAGAACTCCATTTAAGTAGACTTATCGGTTAACACATACCGTTCCTTTGTTAAGTAGAATTCTCATCTTTAAGCTTGGGCAAAAACTTTCTTCTCAATGTATCGTCATTAGGCTGGTCGAGATTCATCCCGAGTTGTTTTTTAAGTTATTTTCTTAATTAACAATATTAATTATTAATTATTTTTGTTTATTTTCACCATTAACTATATTAGTTGGTCCGACCTATGGGATCCAAAAATTAGATGGAGAAACGTGTAGACACAATAGAGAAAAGAAAGGTATTATGTCATTAACGACATTTAAGATTATTTTTTTGCACAAATTAGCGTGGTTGAAGAGTTGATGAGAAAAAAAGTTTGTCTCTTATAGCCATTGTCAACACAAATAGTGCCCAAGCACCCGTAGTGGATGTTGTGGAAGCAACACCTGTTTCGTTTCTCTTCTTCTGGTGGCTACAAAACGCATATACTCTCCAGACAGGCGAGCCATTTGCATGTACTACTTGCTCGTCTCTCCACTATGACTCTTGTGTTGGACAAATATGATGCTACATAGATTAACGACGAGGGACCTTCTTGAATGACAATGCAAGACAAGACGAGAGTTTTTATGTAGTCTTTGACGGAATGAAGGTGGCTAGGCTGGCGTAAAGACGAGAAGGGAGTGGTCCTCAGTTGTGGAAAAGAGCAAAGTCGCGGCAAACATGGGAAGTCGTGGTCTACTGAGTTGCAAAGGTGGAGACAAATTTGTAAGCATAATCATGGATCTTGAATAAATAATTTGGTGTATACGACATACTCACTTGATGAGGAAGACGATATAATTGTGTTCTTAATGAGCACACGAGGCTCTTTCAGTTCTTTTGATCTAAGCTAGTTTCTCCCTCTTAAGCATCTCTTCACATATCAGAATATTGATGGGAAAATACTGCGTAGCCTAATAAGAGGAGAGATGACTAATTTATATTGATGTGGCTTTAGATCTAGTATGTCCATCAAATATCCAAATTAATGACTCATATGTGTTTGACCATTAAATAAAAGCCCGATCAATAGGATCTTTAATTGTGAGACCAATGTTTTCGAGCTACATATTCTTACATCCTCTCACTTGGTCCGAGAGCTCTTTAATTTAATAGTATAACATTAAGTGCATATATACAAACCTCATTATGCCATGCATCATAATAAACCATGCATCATAATAAACTATGACATGACAAACCATATAGTGAGAGTTATGGCGGTTGTACACTCTCCATTCGCATACTTCCTTCCATATACACTACACTAACAGTTCAACACATCAAGGTTCATAATTATATATAATATCATAATGTCCATTTAATTATCTTGAAGACATTTATTTCTTGCTCTAAGCATAATGTATACACAATCATAATGAACAAGAAATTCGATAAAAGTCATAAATATAACATCAATGAGCTCAAGATTGTGTCATAACATCATCATAATCAATCATCAATACAATCAAGACTCATCATTCTATGTACACCTTCTTTAAATGTATTTGGTTGTAGACCTTTGGTTTACGGGTCTGCAATCCTAAGGTCTGTTCGATGCACACACTTTGTTTCTGAACTTCCTCCTTAACAACAAAATACATTAATTCCATGTGTTTTGCACCCTTGGAATATCTGTCGTTCTTGGAGAAGAAAACTACTGCAGAATTATTACAATACATTTTCAGCGGCTTGGTAACAGTGTCGACAACCCCAAGTCTCAAAATAAACCGAAACCAAAATATGTGAATTGTAGCCTCATAATAAGCTAAAAGTTAAAGTTTTTATAGCAGATGCAGTTATGATAAACTGCTTGACACTTTTCCATGAATTACTACTTCATCTAAGAGAAACACATAGCCAACGTTGACTTACAACAGTCAATGCACCCAACAAAATCTGAATCTGAATATCCAATCACTTCAGGCTGATCAAATTTCCCAAACATAAGCATATAATCATTCGTCCCTTGAAGGTATATCATCACTTTTTTTTTGCAGCTTTCTAGTAATCCAATCTATGATTACTTTGATATTGGCCAAACATTCCAACAGCAAAGCTAATATCAAGCCTCATGCAAGTTTGCAAGTAAATCAGAATACGCACAACAGAAACATATGAAATAGATTACATACTCTTTCGTTCCACATCATGGACATTGCACAAGGCTAAACTTATCTCCTTTCTATAATGAGGCAACACTGTGGACAATTGTCATACTAAATCTCTCAAGAATTTTATCCGTGTACGCTTTCTGAGACAACCCCAACAAACCTTGTGATCTATCCCTAATTATCGAAATTCCAATCACATAAAATGCCTTTCCTATATCTTTCATTTGAAAATTGTTTGAGAGAAAATATTTAGTCTCGTGCAAAAGTCTCAAATCATTAGCAGCATATAGGATATCATCAACTGGTAATAATACTACTAGTAGTCCAAATCTAAATCCCTAAATAAAAACTGGAACTAATATTCACCAATACAAAAAAAAAGAGGTAAGTCAAACACGAGTCATCAATCATCACATAAGCTTAAAATTCATCAAAGGCATCAAGATTTCAAAGGTCTATCAAAATTTGCATAGAAAATGTGCACTCAAGTTTTGGTATGGTATGGTACAAGGGGCATTTCGAGCAGGAGGCAGAATCATAAACAAGATCTGGGAAGCGGTGCGCCACTGATCCCTTGCTATGACTTCCGATTCTGAAAAACGCCAAAACAATGAACAGTTAGCCAATGATAAAGAATGTAAGCTTAACAAGAGGACGCGCAGTGGATATTAAATCTATAGGGGCAGGGGAAAAAATCAAATCAAGAAAAGAAATGAAAATATAATCACATTTCACAACATAAGAATTTACGTGGGGCATACAGAACGCAACATACTATTACAATCTTACACTGATCGACCAGTCAATTCAAAAGAGGTAGGGGATCATCCAAACTTGGCCAAAGTCTACACTGTCTCCTTTTATGCAGTGTAAAAAGAAAGTAAGGACAAAGGTCTATTAATATAGAAAAATCTATCTGGTACAGCTTAAAAAATAGCCATCTTGGTATAAAACTTATGAATCCTTCATCTGTGTTAAAGATACATTAGTGAGACAAACTTCCACTTGTTAACAAAAAGAAGTGCCGTAATTGTGACATTTCGGGAGAATAACGGACTCAATAACTGGTATTATTGAGATGATGTAGAGTACAGTCACAATAGCTTACGTTTATCACCAAATGTATCAAAATTAAACAATAAGAATCAATATGCATGTGTTAGATAAAGTCAGATAACTTCTTCCAATAGAAATTTACAAAATTTAATACACATTGCTTAAACACTCAATATATCTCATATATAAAGGACCACACCATCCCATCTAAGTTTCACACCATTGACCCAACCAAAGAATCATACCTCTAGCAATCAATGGTGGTTGAGGTTATGAAATGTTTAACATGACTGTAGTGGAGAAATTGTGTTTGGTGGTTGACTTATTGGGTTTGTTTCAATGATCAATGGCTAGAAATAGGACAATCATGATCTCAATAACATATATAAAACCAAATAAAATTTGAACTGAAGTCCTATGAGTATTCGCTTGTGTGGTACCAATGTTCTGCCACATCTAAAAAACAACTCACTCTATTCCACGATCCAATTACCTGGTTCATCCATATAAAGTCCACAATTTGGTTTGTATACTATGAATCTCTATTGCAATGTATATGTAGCAGATAGAACTTACAATAGAGAAACTTTCCGTTTCGACATCTCAAATATATAGATCAACCAGAAAAATTAAAAAAACGAGAAAAAAAAGGCAAGTCTCATAAAGTCGTACCTTGGATGTCTCCCACTTGCCATTAATCCAGTTCTGATGTACACGCAAATCAGTGTGGTTAAACTTTATTAGCTCCTCACTTGCAGTGAAGTACACAGAATACTTCTCTTTTATTAGGAGCTTAGAAATGATCCCCGTCCACCAACCGTCGTTGTAGAAAGCATCAACTTCCTCACCAACTTCAAAACGATCCACAATTTCAACATCTGGCGGGCACGGCCTTATGTGGAGGCCATCGACTTCTTCTCTCAGGAGAGTTGAGCCGTCATCATCCTTGAGGGTTTGATATTCTATAAGATACTTTTCCTTTAGTTTTTTCACAATTTTGGCAACAAACCAAGCGCCCTCGAAACCCTCTTCATCGCTACTGACTTCAACAACATCTCCAGGGCTATAACTATGTTCAATCTCCTTGTGTTTGGATTCCACTTTAGCTGGCTTCTGATTAGGAGGATAAATGTGTGAGAGAGAATGATTTCATGATGTAATGAAGGAAAAAATTGCAGAAAATATAAGTAAAATTCTTTTTTCACATAATCACACCTTTGTGTTAGCCTCAAAACATAAACTAATACACACTTCCATTCATTACACTAACAAATTTGGGCTGTTAACATAATACACCCGGTTCTGTGAAAAAACTGTGATGCCTGGTAACCAATTCAAAAGGAGGACGTTGTTTGAGAATTCCAGGTACGCGAGAAGCTGAGCAACTAAAGTTTCAACTATGACGTGCTTAAACTAGAAATTTTAAATGCCGAGTAGAATAGCAAAGTTACCAAAACTATAATTTTCAACTTTCATGGAAAAATTTCCAGGTCAAACTCATGCTACAAGAGAAAAATATCTTAAAAGATGAAAATCCTGCATGAACAACAGATGCTATACATAAATTTTTGGAATTTGTAGGAACCCTCTCTAATTGTATACTTTCATTAAAGCGAAGCAAAGATAAAAGCCTTCGAAAACTTTTATACGAGATTAGATACTTAGGAGGGAGAAAAGGTCATTTATAAAATTGCAAAGCAAAGGGAAAAGAAAACAAAGGACTTAACGGATATTAAATGCATAAAAGATGAAAATAGATCGTGTTATTAGTTGATGATAAAATAATAAAGGATCGATGGAAAGAATATTTTCATAAACTATTTAATGAAGTAGATGATAGGGAAATATCGCTAGGGGAATTAGAGGAAAGTGAGAAATATAAAAAATTCCCATACTATAGAAAAATCCAAACCAAAAAAGTAGAGAAAGCAATGCAAAAAGTGAAAAATGGCAAAGCCGTAGGTCCCGATTACATTCAAAGAGGCATGGAGATGCCTTGCTAAATTTGGAATTGATTGGTCTACGAACTTGTTTAACAAAGTAAGAAAATGGGGAAATTTATATATAAAAAACAAAAAAAAAACACAAGTGGACACAAATAAAAGAAAAAAAAATCTGGACCAAAATCAAAAACCAGTATTCTGAGAATACGTTTTCTTTACAAATTGTCATTGACAAACGTATTCTCAGATTACGTGTTTCAATGAAAAACGTATTATGCGAATACGTTTTTCAATGAAAATTACAAAAAAAACGTATTCTCAGAATACGTGCTTTTTATTTATTTCCACAACTTTTTTTTTTGTTTTGTTCTTGTCCACTTCATTTTTTTTTATTTTTTTTAAGGAAAAAAACCTAAGAAAATGTCCAACCAACGGAGGAAAAGCACATTAATACATTTGTTTAAAGATAAGGAGATATACAAAATTGTACATTTGTTTAAAGATAAAGGAGATATACAAAATTGTGCAACCTACAGGGCATAAAACTAATGTGTCACACAATGAAATTATGGGAGTAATAGAAACTAGACTAAGGTGAGGTAAGAAACAAACATAATGAAAACCAATTTGGTTGTATGCCGGATAGATCAACAGTGGAAGCTTTGTAATAAGGAGACTTTGTGAACATTTTAAAGAGAGAAAACAAAATTTGCATATGGTCTTTATTGACCTTGAAAAAACAAAAACAAAACATATGATAGTGTTAATAGAGATATAATGTGGATAGTGTTAGAAAAGAGAGAGGTGCGAGTTGGTTATATAGAAACCATAAAAGATATGTATAATAATATGTATAATAATGTGAAAACTTGTGTTAGGACACTGGTAGCGGGTGAATTCCGTATCTCTTTGCATTATTAATTGATGAACCTACGAAACATTTGCATATGGATGTCACCGATTACATGTTGTTTGCGGATAAAAAAAGTGTTAATAGATGAGACGAGAGAAGAGGTAAATACCAAGTTAGAAACATGGAGAGAAGCGCTTGAATCTAAGGGTTTCAAAATAAGCAAGGCCAAAACATAATATATAGAGTGTAATTTTACAAATCAAAGAAGTAATACTGGGGTAAAGGTTAAAATTGGGGAACACAGAACACATCTAAAAATTTTAAATATTAAGGATCTATACTAGAAGATAATGGCAACATAGATAAGGATGTAACACATAAAATTCAATCGAGATAGAACATGTAGAGGAGCGCGTCGTCGATACTTTGTGATCGTAAAATACCAGTTTGAAAGGCAAGTTATATCGAACGGTCATTCAACCGACGATGCTTTATGGATCTGAGTGTTGGGCTACTAAATATGAAAATGATCAAAAAATGAGAGTGGCAGAAGTGAGAATGTTGAGATGGATGTGTGGGCATACTAAGTTAGATAAGATTATGAATGAAAGTATTAGAAATAACCCATAGAGGAGAAAGAGAAAATGAGAGAATCGCGATTAAGATGGTTTGGGAGAGACTTCGATGCCCCCGGTGAGAAGGGTAAAACATTAGAATTAAGAACGCAAATTAAAGAGAAGAGAGGAAGACCTAAGAAAAATTGGAAGGAAACAATAAAAAATAATTTAAAATATTTAAATTTGAATGAAGATATGTGCTTTGATGGACATGTGATCCATATAGCCAACCACACTTAGTGGGATTTTAACAGCTGGTTGTTGTTGTTGTATTAAAGTATGCTCCAGACAAGAAATTTTTGAAGAGAAACGAATTATTTCGATCTCTCCTTCAACATACTTTAAATCAAGTCATCGTTGATAACTCAACAACTTGTTTGCTTCCATTTAAGTTCTTTTTAAACTTTGCAAATTAATTTGGCACCATTTATTCGTTTCTACGAGTATGTGGAATCACAATCGAGTTTGAAGCAACAAAACAAAGAGAAAATTGAGTTTAGAGGAGTAGACAAGGACCTACTTGAACATTGGCATAGTCTGATCGCCTAAATGCAAGGCGCGATGTGGCGAGCACAAGGCAGCAGAAAGAAAGAAAAAGAAAAAGAAAAAGAAGAAGAAAAAAAAGTACAACAAACCAAGAGCTCATAAACAAACATTAGCAAGAAAACATAACATATAATGAGTTTAGATTCAAGTCTCTTGAGACACGAGACAACATAAAGCAGATGCCAAAGAATATGTTATATGTACAGTCAGTAAATGCCAATGCATTCTACCCCTTCCCCTAAATAAAATATTGACAACACAGAAGAATTACTTAACTTGTTCATTGCAAATGGAGCTGGAAGAGTCATTGTTGACAATTCTTCTGGCATAGTGCTAATAATGGACTAGATCAAAATGGCTCAATTAAATTCTAGTGCTTCTTCTATTAGTGAAGTTTCTAGAAAAAAAAAAATATATCAAACGGCGCAATGCACCTTGGGTCACTACAGAAATTGTATAATTACAAAGAAATTGTATAATTACAAGGGTAAGGTCTGCATACAGACCCCCAGACTCAACCTCCAACCTGTTGAATATACTGGGTCCAACCTGGGTATGTTATTGTTGTTGTAGAAGAATTACTTAACCACTGAGCTTAGTCTTGAAATTAAAATTGAATGCCAACCGCAAAATGCCAAGGCGTATCTGTTGTACTATACACTAAAGGTGCTTAGTGAGAAACATGATCACCACCACAAGACTTCTACCTGTCAATGTTTTTACTTACACGAAAATATCTAATTATCCTTCCTCATTGACATACAACTTCTCAAAACATATAACTGGACCAAGGAGCTTAAAAGCACACTTAAACATCTTATGCAACAAACAATTGGTCCTGGAACTATCAGAAGTTCTTAATGGTGATAACTGTTAACATCATCGCATTAGCATCGCCAACGTCCATCTAAATAAGGCCAACTGTTCCATAATTTTTGCAATGTCTTGTTTGCAAGGGAATCCAAGTACAAAACGACTCCATACAACAGCCGCTAATTAAGCATATGTAATAAGCCAATAAACAGTACAATTAAGTACTTCCAATCAACACATTTTCAAATATACAAAAATGAGCACAGCACATCACAAAAACGATAATCCATCAAAAAAACGGCAATACCTTATCACCCACAGGCATGACCTCCTCCTCCATCTCCGAGTTCTCCAGAGGCGGGACCCACTTCCCGTGGTTCCACTCGCGGTGCAACCTCAGATCTGAGGCGGAAAAGACGATTTGCTCCCTGGTCCCGCTGAAGAACACCGCGTACTTACCTTCAGCCCCCTCCTCAACCACCTCCGTGATCGTCCCCTCCCACCATCCGTCGCTGTAGTAGGCGTCCACCTCCTCCCCGAACCCGAAGATCCGACCGGCGGCCTCCCTGGGCGGCGGTGGCCGCAGCTGGACCAGCTCCAGCTCCTCCTTCAGCGGCCTCGTCCCCTTCTCGTCCTCCGTCAAGGTCTTATACTCCACCAACACCTTCGCGGGGCCCCTTTTCCCGCCACGCGGTGGCCGGACGACGGTGCCCTCGTACCACGACCCCCGGAAACCCTCGTCGTCGCTGCTAATCTCAACGCGCGCGCCTTTCTTGAAGAACTTCAACACCGTGTCGTCGAAGAAGGCTGCCATTCGTCGCGAATTCTGTCAGGTAACTACACGATGAATGATGCGCAAGGAGGACGAGAGATGGCGGGACAGAGGAGACTGAGCGATATAGGGCCGCCGAGGTATTTGAATGTTTGAATATTTGTTTGTGTCTAAAGATTATAGAAAAAGAAAATAAGTCACGAATTCGAAGCGATTTTTTTTCTTTTTCTCTTTTTTTTCTTCCTTCACAAAGAGGGGCCTCCAAAATTTGAAATTATGAAATTCCTTTACATAGTATATGCTTGGAAGGGGTCACTTGAGTTGTGTGGAGACGAAAATTTAGAGAGGCAATGAAAATGGTGATGGTGGTCTAGAAACCTTTGTTAACATGTGAAAGGGGAGTTAGGGCAACAAGAGAGGCTGGATGAAGAAACAAGAGAGGATGAGGCAAAGAATTTATGTGGGTGATTGTTGCACATACTTACATGAATTTTTTGAAACCTAAAAAAATATTTTGGGCTTGGTTTAATTTTGATGGATTGGGTTGAGGAGAACATATTCTACTATAAAAGTTTTGTTGTGAACTGGTGTAAAACTTAGGCCCAAATGTTGGAGCGAATTAAAAAAGTTTGAAAAATCGAATTTCTTATATATTATCAGTATTTGTTGAACTTAAATACACACACAAACACACAACACCGGCTACACAGTGACACACAACACACGCAACCACCGCCTGCCTGCAGCTCACAACACCGCATCAAGCCCCGTCCGTCCGCCTCCGTCCGGAAATTTCGTCAGCCCGTCCAAAACTCACGGCGAGAGCTCCAATGTCGATGGCCATAGCAATCGTCGTTCTTCAACAGACCGCCACCTCACATCCGCCTTCCACCACCAGTCCGCCACTTAGCCTCAGTCGTCCGTCCACAACAGCTTGGCCTCGCCACCGCCTCGCCTTGCTTAGTCTCTGTCATTCGCCACCTACATCCAGTCATAACAACCAGCTCGCCGTCGCCACTAATGTCGTCGCCGGCAACAACACCGACATTGCCACAGGCCACCACCACAACCGACCGACAACATCTCCACGACACTCACCAGAGAGGTTGCAGGTCGCCGGCGGCGAGAACCACCACCGGCTCGCCACGCCGACTCTCTCCCGCCGGCACTAAGCCAGTCGTCGTCACAGCTAGAGATGTTAAAAGGTTTATCCTGAAAAAAAAACAGCGTTAGGGCCCTTTATTAATAGCTCGTTTAAATCAGGGCTGCCGAAACTTAAGTTATCCCCTCTGCCGAAAACAATCGCCCAAATCACAATTGTCAATCCCCTCGCCGTTCATCTGTAATAGCCGGTTTTGAGTCTCCCTCAGTCATCGTCCGGGCTCATCGGTGGACGGCCTCCGCTCCTACTCCATAATTCTGGCGGAGGTGTTCTCATTCGTTGTCTCAAGCCAAAGGGTGCGGTCTAGGGTTTCGGCAGATTTTATTTTTCTGTGCGATGTCGCTGGCCTTCTGAGGTGTTGGGGCTCGGTAGGGTGCGATGCCAGTAAATGGAAGGGGTTGGGGTCGCTCACGTCGGCTCAGGTCGGAACGACTCTTCTTGCCGGGCTCGGAGGTCAGACTCGACTCGTTTCTCCTTTTCCTGTCGGGGTTGTTTCACGATTTCCGACCGCTGAGGGGTATTGGGCCAAGGTTAGTCTCTGGGTTGGAAGTCGGTTGTCTGTTCGGACTGTGTCGGCACGGCTGGGCTTGAAGCCATTTGTTCCCCTTCCTCCCTTATTCTCTCGTTCTGAGTCCGGGGGAGGCCGGCCGTTCTGAAATTGGCTAGTGGTGATAGGAAGTCTTGGGACGGTGTCGGATTTGGCTAGTGGTGTTAGCCAGTTGGGGGGCGATTGTGGTTTCTTGCGGCCGGAGAGCGGGCCGGTTTCTTGGATTGTTTCGAAGCTGAGGTCTTCACCTTTGCTAGGCTTTAGGCAGTGGCGGGTGTGGTTCTTGTGCTTAGGATCTTTCTTCGGAGTCTGACTTGTCTGCTGATTACTTCGGAGGTCACTGCTGAGGGAGGGCTGGCTGTGTTCTTTAGTTTATAGTTGTTTTATTCTTAGGTGTGTTTTTATTGTTGGTTTAGTCTTGTGTTTTTGGTTTGGGCCGTTGGCCCCTGTGTTGCCCGAGTTGTGAGTGAGCATTACCCTGTTGGGGTCGTTTTCTCTCATTCTCCTCTTGGGAGCTTTTAGTTTATGTAGTGTGTTGTGTTTTAGTGTGTTGCCGAGTATTCTAGAATTGCTAGTTTTTGGATCTAGCGGTCTTCGGACTGTCCTCCCAAGTTTCTCAGTCATCGGTTGTATTATTCAGCTAGTGGTCGGTTGTATTATTCAGCTAGTGGTTGTATCTTTGCACATTTGTGCGTTTATTTATAAAACCTCTATCGTTTTNATATGCTCTTAAATTCCTTGTATATTACAATTTTACTGTTCCACTTCACATGTAAGTATGAGTTGTAATGGATTATTATGATTTTGAAAGATAATTAATAACAATATTGTTATTGTACTTCACACTAAAATATTTAAACCAATTAGAATGACTAATAGAAAACACATGAAACATAGTGATAGAATATATAGTGAAAACTCCCAAAGCGTACAAAATAAGTAGTAAAATGGTAATTGTAAGTAATAGTTGGAATATTTTTTTCTTTTGAGAAAAAATATGTTATTTAAGAGTTTGTAATGTGTGTTCATATATGATGTGTAGTTGTATATATAGAGCGGTAAATACTAAATAACCGTTGAAAACAATCGTTAACTAGTCGTTTTTAATTTTTTATTTTATTTTTTTATTCTTTTTATTTTTGATATTTTTTTATACATTATTATTATTATTATTATTATTATTATTATTATTATTATTATTATTATAACTATAGCCCGTTTAGCCCGAAGTCCGCTAGAGTTAGGGCCAGGTCCCTTTATTGATAGCTTGTTTAAACCCGTGTTTTTTAGGCCCGAATCGTTTAGCCCGAAGCCCGCTAGGGCTAGCCCGTTTAACATCTCTAGTCACAGCCCAGCCATTCCCGTCGCCAACAGAAAAGCCGAAAACGAACGAGAATGTTGCATTTTAGAATGGGGGATTTTTCTAAAAAATTGATATGTTTAAAGGACTCAATTACAATTTTATAAACTTCAATATATTACAATTAAATTAATGGATTAAATTTACAATTTATGAAAATTTTAATAATTGCACATTAATGTTATGTAAATTGTACGTTAACGATAAATAAATTGCACATTAATATTATGTAGATTTCACATTAACATTTTTATCTAACATTTTTTTATTTATTATTTAAAAAATGACATTTTATATAAAATATAACAAAATATTATTTTTTTATTTAGTTTGGTTGGTCCGGTTATTTTTTGTTATACTAAAACTTTAAAAGTAAACACATATAATCTAATCGACATAAAATTCGATCTCGAAAAAATATTTCGGTCTGTATAGTGCAATTTGACAGTCACTAATGTGTAATCCGTCTAACAATATGGTGCAATCCACCATTCAGTAAAGTGCGATACGACTAACACTAACACGCACTTGCAGTGTAACTATTTTAGTATCTATGATTTCATAATTAATAATTATATTGTTGTTTGACGAAAATAAATAATATATATACATAAAATATAAATATAATATTTTTTGTATAGTTCGATTGATTCAGTTACTTTTTTTTTTCTTTTGTATAAAAAAGCTAAACTCGAGCTGAAATAATCAAATTTTTAATATTTTGTGAAAATGCAAATTGATATGTTAATGTGCATTATCAAACACATTAATGTGCATCTGGTCTAACACTAGTGTGCAATCTGACAATCAATAATATGCGTCATGAGTTATACTATTGTGCATTATGCAGTTTGAGCCTTTTTTTTATGTGCAAATCTAAACTAAAAGTAAACCAATATGATTGGATTATCTGCTTGCTTAGTCGAATTAACCTAAATATTGAAATAAGTTACTATTTATATAATAAAAATATATTTAATATTTTATTATGTTTATTTAATGTCTTATATTATTTTTTGTTGAAAAAATATAATATATATAGTTATACAGAAAATATATAAATAAATATTATTTTTATATATTTTCTATAAATTACAGATTTGCCCTGTGGACTAAATTGAAATATACTTAAAATTCTTAAAATTTAGTTAAATTATAAATTTGACCTATGAACTAAATTGTAGTCTAATTTTTTTTTTTTAATTGTAATCTAGTTAAATTAATGGAATTTGCAAATGAATCCTTAATATTTATCAAAATTTCAACAAAGATCACGTCGACCAAGCTGCCCGTGTTCCCATGAACCTTCGCACCACGTAGCTCTCGATATCTGCAGTTATGACCAAAGGCATCATTGTGTAGGTGCGAAACACTCACAGTGTCTGGCTCGAAACTTAGAGCAGTCTCGGGTTGTTCTTTGTGGACTTCTGCAACCTCTTTTCACTTGTTTCTATGAACTTTCTGTTCTGGGGACCTTTGATTATGACTTGGATTTCGTTGCCTTCTGGTGCTTTCATTAAAGTTTTCACCTTCATGGTTTCTTGTGTGTTTTTGAACTACCTTCTAAATCTTCAGGTTGTGAAAATACCATCAGCCCCTTATAGTCGGTAAAAGACTGAGACGGAATTTGTTACGCCACATTGAGTCACGAAGGGATTGAACACCTTACACCTCGAATGGTCCTTTCCCTTGAGCTCTGATGACATGAAATACGCTGGGAAAGGGTCTGAGTGGAAAACTCTTCAGTCACTCAAGTCATAACTCCCTCAAACTGCATACTTAAGAATATATGAAATAAGGCATAAAATGTGTGTTAATGATGAAAATGAACTTGTTTCCCTTATATAGAGCTTTGATACTTTGGGGCCGAAGAGAATTCTTATTAGGGAAGATATCCAAGTAGATTCTACTTCCCTAACTTACCTCATCTCTATCCTGGTAAGAGTCCTTGAGCGAGTGATTTTTTTCTTCATGCTTGGGTTCTTCCCCATTTTACTATTTTAGCCCATGGATCTTTAGGTCCTAAATTTGATCTCCTGACTCGTCTATTGTGGCCTCCCCGATGGGGTACCTGACCTTATCCTGAGGTCTAGACTGACCTCGTCTTTAAGCCTATTCTATCCTAAGGCCACCCGACCTTGATACCTCGAGGTCGGTTACTTCTCTAGCTCCTGGAGGTTAACCTCCAGGTCGTGTCATTTCTGATAGCTCGGTACCTTAAGTTCAAGTCCGACTTGACCGAGTACACCTAAGCTCTCCCAGCCCGGCTTCAACTGAGTTACTTGCTCCAACCATTCTACCAAGCTATTTCTAAGTGCTATATAAGGTTGCATATGTTTCTAAAATAAATGGTTGTGTAAAATCAGGCAATCCCAATATGCGGAAAGCCCTCTCTGTCTCTGAATTCCACTTAAATATGTCATTTCTCAACAAATTTGTCAAGGGTTTGCTAATAATGTTATATCCCTTGACAAATTTTCTATAATACCCTGTGAGTCCCAAAAATCCTCTTAACTGTTTGATAGTAATTGGGACTGGCCAATCGAGCATATTGTCAGCCTTCTGAGGATCTGTGGATACTTGTTCTTGAGAGATTATATGCCTGAGGTATTCAATCTCTTGCTGTCTGAACTGACACTTACTCTTTTTGGCAAAGAGTTTATGCTTCCTCATTAGATCTAGAACAGTCTTTAGATGAATAAGATGATCCTTCCACCTTTGGTTATAGACCAATATACCATCAAATAAACCAACACACTTTTCCTCAGTAAATCTCTAAAAACTTGATACATTAAAGATTGGGAGGTGGTTGGGGCATTCCATAACCCAAAAGGCATCATCAAAAACTCATACTGCCCACTGTGTGTGTTGAATGTTGTCAAATGTCTATGTTCTGGTTGCATCAAAATCTGAAAATACACTGACCTCAGGTCTATTTTGGAGAAGTATGTAGCTTCGTGTAGTGTATCAAGCAACTTATCAATAAAGGGAATAGTGTAATCATACTTGATTGTTAAATTATTGAGATACCTTTAATCCACACACAATATCCAAATAGAATATTTCTTCTTAACCCATGGAACATGAGATGCAAATGGACTGTGGCTAGGTTGAATAAATCCTAGATCTAGCAGTCCTTTGACAATTTTTGTAATCTCAGCTTTTTTGTCATGAGATACTTTGAAGGGGTATTGGTGCTTAGGTGTGTTGTCAGGTTTTTGAAGGATTTGATGTTCCACTCCCCTTTGAGGAGGTAACTCCTTTGGTTCCTCAAAAATATCCTCATACCTTCCCAATAACTCATCAAACTGTGGTTTTAAAGGTGGATTGGTCTAGGCATATTCATCCAAAACATTTCTTCAATTTCCTTCATCCCTTGGTCATGCATAATATTGAAAATGGAAGACCCTGAAATCAGTTGGCACTCATATGTTAAAGTAATGGCCTACAACTTAACCATCCTTGATTTCTTACTGACGGATTTAATCATTCTATTGTAGTCTAACTCAATGAGAGCATAAGCCTTAAGCCAATCACCACTCAGAATTAAATCACAACATTTATGTTGCAAAACCCTTAGATTGTGAGTGAAAGGATGATTTTTCATCCCCCATTCAAAGCATGTGAACTAACTATTCTTTGGCCATTTTCCACTTTAAGAATGAGTCGCTTGGTTGGGACCATTTTACACCCCAACTCCTTGGTTGTCTACTCCCTAATGAAACTTAGAATACTTCATGAATAAATAAGTACATGTAGTTTGTATCCTTCAATTTTTCCACAACCCCATCGTAGTCAACCCACCCCCTTCCCCAATGATGGAGTTTAAGATCATTTTCATTTCATCCATGTCTACCTCTGTTGATTTCTCCTTGTTTTTGTCACCACCAACTTGTAGATAAGCAAGTTCTTTTTCCTTAGCCATAATCACGAAGTTTTCTCTCTGTATACATCTATGTCCAAATGTTAACTTTTCATCACAATTGTAACACAAACTTTTCTCCCTTCTTTTTGCCATTTCACTAGCTGTGAGTACCTTCATTGGTGTCTTACTAGTAGCTGATGATGTGGTTTTTGCCTTATATGTCTATGCTAGTTCAGGATTTTCAGTGTTTTGACAAGGTATGTAGGTTTGTTTATTTGCTCCCTTTAGCTTCTTGGAAATTGCCTTCAAAGTAGTTGTTTGTTTCTTGCCTAGCTCGATGGCTTGAGGTAAACTGGGTTCAAACATAGTAATGAAGGCTTGTGCTTCCTCAGGCAGTCTAATGATGAAACTCCCACAAAATACTCTTCAGAATAACCTCCACTATTCAGTAGTAGCATACATGCCCTCAATTCCTCAAACATATCCACATAGTCTTCATAGGACCCATTTTGCCAAAGATTATTGAACTCCACAATGATTTTAGCTTCTTTCAAATCCTCAAACCTAGCTGATATTATATCAACAAGTTGTGACCATCATAAGTCCTCTTGCTTAGCAATGAAATTTTGGTACCATTGAGCAACTCATCCCTCAAAATGCATGGTAACAAGAATGACGTTTTCATGGCCTAGCATATTAGAGGTTAGCTTGAAATATCCAGTGCATTTTAATATCCAAGGCCTTGGTTGACTGCCATCAAACCTAGAAAAATCTATTCATATGTGAGATAAGATTTTCAAACTGAAGTTTTGGTTTAAAGCCTTACTGAAATATGGAAAAACTCCCTCTACCCCCAGAATTTGTGGGTCCATCTCATAAAATTGTTCATATGATATTTTTTTTGGATTGAGGAGTTGTAACTGAATAGCAGCCAAAGTGTTGGCAATGTGCTCATGTTTACTATTCATTGTGTTGCTCATGACCCCAAATTGATCTTTTACTTCTGTGTTAATTACAGACAACTCCTGGAGTTTCAATTCTGATGCATCTCATTTTAATGCTTATGTTTGCAGGTTTTGATCGGCTTACTCTGAACTTCCTACAATTCCTTGAATCTCATAGCCTCCGCCATGTTCCGGGGAAATTTGATTCTGAGATACCAATGTATTGAATCCTTATTTTTTGTATATTTTTGAAAGGTTTTTCTCTATAATTAGCTTGGAGAAGAAGAAGTGAGAGATTGATGAACTTAGAGAGAGAGAGAGAGAGATTAAAGAAGTTGTAACGTGTTCTATGCTTTTTTCTCACTGTTTCCCTTTTTGTGTTTGTTGCACACATCACACCATTCACACACAATCATTACGTAATTTAGCCCCAAATGACCAATTCAAAAATGAACTAATTGGGCTTAAAATAAACACTATTTCATTTAGAAGAATTTGCACCCCATACCAACCATTATTCTTTATATTACACATATACATCCAATAAATATTCATTTGCAAACCTACCAAATTTGCCATTATTATTTGCACATATACCAGCTTTTTAGTTTTGTTAAATATATATTTTAAACATGCTAAAGGGCAATTCTATGGGATTTATTTATCAATTTGTTTTCACAATGGTTTCCACTTTTAATGGCATTAAAACTCCCCATTTACTCTCTCTTTCTCTCTGTCCTTATCTCCTTCTTATTCCTTCTCCATTTCTCTTCTCCGAATTTCCTACTTATTTTTCTTGAATTCTTCTTCTATTTTTTTCTACCAATGTCTAGTGATGACAACAGGCGGCGGAGGGCTGCGGGGTTCCACTCACCTCTTGACTGAGTGGAGCAGCACGGCGGTTTCACCAACTGAAGGGGATGGCTACAGAAATATTAGGAGACACCGTAAATCAAAAAAGCTCAAATCGTCTGAAAAAGAGAGCTCGCTGGCCCCGATTTCCAAAATGAAAATGAGTATGAAGAAGACGACAATATATGTTGCGATGACGAAGGTGAGGCCAAAGCTCGGGGCTCCTTGCGATGTCGGCAGTATATGTTACGTTTATATATAATATACTTTAGTATATGTTCCTGTCGATACAATCTCGATGATTCTACAACAGTTTGTTTGTAAGCAGCGGCGACATACGAATACTTCTGATAGGATCTATTTCATTGTTTATTTAATGTTTATTCATAATTTATGTTTGGTATATTAGAAGGTTCACAATCTATTTCAATGTTTATTGGATGTTTATTCGTAGTTTATGTTTGGAATATTAGATTTTTTTATTTTTTTTATTGTTGACGACGAAATTGAGAAATGAGCAATTTGTTGTTTTTTGGTTGATTATTGTTTATGTTGTTTTAGATATTTCTCATAATTATGTATATCAATGGGTTTTGCTTTGTTTTTATTTGTGTTAATTTTTAATTGTTGAGTACATTTTGTGAATGGATGTTTGGTATTTTTGTTTTCAAAATTTATTTGATGTTTTATTTATAGTTTATATTTGGTATACTAGAAAAGCTGGAGATTATTGCAACATATACTCAATATATACTAACTGTAAACGTAATATATACTGCCCATTCGATACACCTGAGAGCTGAAAAGTTTTACTCACTATAAACGCAACATATAGTTCGTTGTAGCTGTAATCTATCATTATATAAAAAGAATAACCTTTTTACAAATTTAGAAACTTTTTCCCGCCAAAATCATTAAATATATTCTATATATAGTAATTGTTGGACAAATCTGAATAGGCAAAAAAATCGGCTCATTAATTGTGTAAAAATTTGTTTCTCTTTTTCCTATTTTTTAGGTTATGAAAACCGTTGTTTGACAATAAATATTTGTTTTTCTTTTTCTTATTTTTAGTATAAATCTACACGAGTTACAAAATCTCATTGCTTATCTCTTCTGTTACAAAATCTCATTGCATACGTCTGACGTGTTTAAAAAATCTCATCCCTTATTTATAAAGATTTGAAAAAATAAAATAAAATAGAAATCAATTCATAATTACTACTAGAAATCCATTATCTTTAAAAAGAAAAAAGAAAATAAAATATAAATCAATTCATAATTACTACTAGAAATCCATTATCTACTTTAAGAAGCTAATTCATCGGTCTAATAACTAATATTTTTACAAATATTATAAGCTAACCATACAAAAAAGTATAATAATAATTTTGAAATGGTGTGTAATCAAATTTTTTTATATTCCCTTGTACAAAATAATTTTATATTGTTTGACCCCGAATCTTTAATTTATAATTATTAAGTATTGTTTATCCTCCTCTTTAATTTATAATTATTTTTTTCTTCCTCTTTTAAAATAGGATCAATAGTAATTTCCACTTCCGCCATTGAATGACTCAAACTCGATGTCTATATAATATTGTTAATTTAATATTGTTCCAGTGCATCGCACGGGGTACACACTAGTTTTTTAAGAAAAAAAATACATATACGTTCAGTAAATACATATATTAACTATAAACGCAATATATACTGCTCATTAAACCACCTGACAACTGCGTGAATTACAATGCATGTTTTCATTTTTCTTTCTTAAAAACGCATAAGCTGCGTGAATTAAGGAAATCAGTTATTTATTATATGCATGTTTTCATTTCTCTCTCTTAATCACAAATTTCTTTTTTAGTCAAATCAAGCGGAAAAACAAGGGATGAAGGTTGGAATGATATGGTAACTAATTTTAGGTATTAATTTAAATAAATCTTATCTTTTAGATAAAGCCACAATTACTTGTACTTGTATATTAAAATTGCAAATAATTGAAAATCACGTAGGAGACATAAAAATATCTTTTTTATTTAATACTCAATTCCTTGAGTGTAGCCCAGTTACAACTCTTCCACTCATAAGCCCAATATGTGAGTGCGGCCCATCTGCAATCCTTCACTTCTAGAGTCCAGTCCACGTCCTTCAATAATCCCCGTCTGCTTCTCTTTAGCTTATCAAATTTTCCGCCTTTCCCCAAAAAATTTGGGGATTTTACACACCTGCCATATCTTTTTTGTAATTATTTGCAGAAATACAATATGCTAATCTTATTAGCATCATTACAAATTATCACCCAAATAATTAGCAATAAACTGACTATCAGTTTCCCCCACCGAAAGTGCATCCCTCCCCATCAATCCCGTAACTGACGGACGTGCAACAATAAAATAAAAACCATATAAACATGGTAAGAATTAATACGCTAAATAAAACATTAACGGTTTGACAGAAAAATATGCCCATCAGAAAATCGATGGACAACATCTTTTCTATGACAAATAATGATTTTTTAGACAATGAAATATAAAGGTAGACCCGAATTTTGAATAGACAGTATATATTGTGTTCATATTTAATATATGTTCAGTTTTTTTTAATATGCAGTATATATTGGGTTTATAGTCCGTATATATTTAGGGAGCTTTTATCTCATATTTGTTTATGTCAAGATTATATGACTTTAACGTATATATTACACATATGAATTGTATATGTTTAGTTTATTTAACGTATATATTATTATACATAATGTTTACACATACAAAATTATATATGTTTAGTTTATATAACGTATATATTACCATCCACTAAAATTAGTTGCGTGCTTTTAAGGATGAGGACGGAGAAATCAATGCACGGACCCGTACAGAAACACTGTGGGGCCAGTCAATGCTCAACATAATCAATAAAAATATAAACACAATCAAGGCTCGACCCTCCGTCGTCGGTGCCCAACAAATCGAGTTCTCCTTTTATCAATCTAATGCCCGACGATGGCCCCACCCAGGCGAGCACGGCACGGCGGCGCTACAACCCTCAAGCGATGGCAGAGTGTGGCGGGAAGCACTTCTCCAACTTCGGCCAAGGCCTAGTTGGGCAGGCGCGGCCACCAAAAGGAGAAGGAGGCTATTTTTTTCTTTTTTTCTTTTGTTACAGTGAATATGCGGAGAAGAAAGAGAGGACCGTCGAATTGATTCTTAAAGAGTCCAACAAAATTGATTTTTTCTTTCAAAAGGTAACTCAAAAGACGGAAGTGAGAGAGAGAGAGTGCAGTTGTGATGGATATTAAATGTAATTAGTAATTAGTAGTCAAATAATCGTAGGTTTGTAATTAAAAGTAAAGAGTGGTAAATTTTAAATAAAAACATTAACCTATCGTGAGGAACGCAATTTTCTCAAAAAATTTCACCTTTAATTCTTTTCTCAATTCCTACCACTCGATCGTCGGCGATCAAATCAAGACAACCTTCCTTTTGATTCACTACATAGTGTCGTCTAAATTTATACTTATATAAAAGAAAATTCTATTTACTACATTTACTATCTAGAAAAGTCAATTGCATTAAATGTCACTACTATTTTGGTATTATAATATTTTATTTATTTAATTGATTGATTTATTTATTTTATTTTAAAAAAGTAAGTATAATAAAAAGATTTTAATAATAAAAAAATTAAATACCAAATAAAAATGTACATTTTGACTTATTTTATTATATTTGGTATTTGATTATACCAATATATTCCTATTTAGTATACATTAAATACTTACTAAAGTATTTATTTGTTTTATTTGTCAAAGTTAAGTATAGATTTGTTTATATTATCAAATCATAAAAAAATATTAAATCCATATTGTAAAAAAAAATTATATAATTTTATAACAATTCTACTACACTATTTAAATTTTTTTTTTTATTATATAATAAAATAATAATTAAATATTATATGGTGAACAACAATAAATAAAACTGTTACTTTCTCTTATATCAAGGGATAAATTTATATGCTAAAATTAAATTTTTATTAGTATAAATGTTTTAGTGAGATAATATATTAATTATTTTACAAGCTAGCCCTAACATGTTCATATTTAATGTCTTAAAAGATGTAGAAAAAAACTTATAATAACTTTATTGTTTTTTATACTTAAACGTTGATTAAAAGAGCTAAAAATTCTTAATTTTTTAGACTTAAACGTTGATTAACACCATAGATTGAGAGTTTATATTTAGTAAAATCCTAATTGTAAAAATAGCGAAAAATTGTACTCTTATTCTTGCAAGGACAAATCAACACCCGTTGCAATATGAATGTAAATCTTTCTTGTTTGAAAAAATAAATTTAAGAATAGGTTTAAACTGCAGCAGAGAAGCATGAAGTTTGACGTATTTAGATCGGGTGCAACACAAGTCAATAAGAATGGATATTTACATAAACTTGTCGTTTGAATAAATAACAGTTGAATTTTTTAATTCATAGAGCTCTATTATTTTTAGCATGTGAGCACGTTAATACGACATGAACTGTAGTTACAAGTCTACATAACACTATTGAGGCACGGCCAGGACAACTATATAAAATTGTTCATATTAAATTTATTTGTATTTTCTATATCTCGGCATTTGAGCGAATGGTATTTGGAAATGCTAATTCGTCTTTTCCTTTTTAAACAAAAATCGTTAAACGTATCCAGACAAATCCACAACGCGTATTGTAGGGAGGATTAATTATACGGGGAGAAGGGCAAAAGAGAATTTTGGAAATTGTCAAATAAACGAGGGACACGTGGATTTCCGTTTTCCTTTAATTTTTTTTTTAATTTTGTATTTACATTAACAAAAAAGGACCCCCACACCACCATCACTGCCATTTCCATACCCTCCTTTTTTCTCTCTCTCTCTCTATAACTCCCCTCCTTCCCTCTGTCCTTCTAAAGTATCCTTATATATTATATTATTTATTTCTCCCCAACCATATCGTCTCCACCACACCCACCACGACGCCGTTTTGGAGCTGTCAATAAGGTAATATAGCTCTATTTAATCGTTACTTATTCTCATTATACTCTTCACATCCTCTGATTTCTTAGCCTAAGAAATTGTCGTATTTTGCATGACTCACGATTTATGAATAATTTATCTCCATTTTACTGTGTCATTTAATCCGATGATACGTTGAGGGACGCCTCTTTTATCTGCTCTTTTTTTTTNCAAACGAAGGTACTAAAGAGAAAGAGTGATTTCATCAATGGTGGAGCCATCGTCAATATCGAATCCCGAAACGAACCCGTCTCTCCAGAAGCGAAGAAGGATCGGGTTGGATTCTTCCGAGCCGTCCGGTCCGAGATGGAGAACCGAGGTCGAGCAGCAGATCTACTCGTCGAGGCTCGTGCACGCGCTGCGGACCCTCCGACGCCCGGACTCCGCCGTCCCCGCCGTCGGCGCGGTTCGCGACGCGGCCGACCGCGTCCTCGCCTCCTCCGCCAAGGGCAGGACCCGCTGGAGCCGGGCGCTGCTGACCCGCCGGCTCGGTCTCCGGCTTTCGCAAATCAGGAGGAAGCACAAGAGGGCCGGTAGACCGGACGCCGGGCTAAAAAAACCGGCTTCTCCGGCGAAACTGCCTCCGTTGCAGAAGAAATTGCGGGCGTTGAGCAGGTTGGTCCCCGGCTGCCGGAAGCTGTCGCTGCCGAGCCTCCTGGAAGAGACGACTGATTATATTGCGGCTCTGGAAATGCAAGTTAAAGCCATGGCCTACATCACCGGCATTATAAACGGCGGCGGAGGAGGAGGAGAAGGAGATCGTTGGCCGATTGAATAGTTCTTGTAGGGAATTTTTTGTTCTTTTAATTTTCTCTTTCTTATTGTTGGGCTTACATCTATTTTAATTGAACCGCTTTATTAGTCATTTAAAAGTGTGTTACTGATTGAAAGAGGTTGTTAATTGATTAAATTATCTGCTTGTACTTTCCGTTGTCTCCTCGCATTGGCTTATCCTCTACAGTCTACACCGCTGATTCGTGCCTTGTTTATTTTTTTCTTGTGGGGTATTATTTGATTTGTTTATTGAATTTGTTATTTATTTCTTTTTTTTTCAATTTGGTTAACGTTTGGTTGGATGAAATGAGACATGCCAACTAATGTCATAGTTTAACAACAATTGCTGTGGCTGTTTATGTTATATTGTTAATTATTCTGGGCTAACGATAATTGGTTCTTATCTGTTAGCTTTATATTTTTAATTGTTGGGCCATTTGACGGATCAATTTAGGTGGAAATTTGTTAAAGGAGAATCGGTGGTACATAAAAGCATTAACTGGACAAAATCTGCCCAAAAAAATACAGCCTAATAGGCAACAGATTTTTAATCTCATGTGCCACATTTTAAGGCGAGGCCCACCCACTTGTGGCACATGTTGTATGGTACTATAAAGATTGAAACTTTTCTTTTTGGATAATGATAATGAGGCATACTTTAGTTTTTCAATGGCGTTGAATTTGTCGTTTGTTTAATGAACTTTTATTTTGTCTTTGGGTATACAATTCTTGCATGCATTGCCAATATTTGCATGGTCCAAACTCGAAAGATACCTCATTTTCTTCCTCACTCGACAAATTCTACAACTATTGATAACACATGATGAAATTTGATTGCTAATGGATATCCAATGCATGTCGGAAGCTCTTGTTTGCCTTCGTACAATGTGTGCTTCCCAACTTCGAATTCTATTAGGATTAATAATTGATTTATAATATTCTATAATATCTTTAGAGAGTCATCAAATAATTGGTTGCTACAACGCAATGACATGATAATGTTCTTTACTTGTTAGAGTGGACTGATACCGACGTATTATAATTTATATAGTTAATATAATAAGGTATCAAAAATATGTTTGTTTCATTTGAGAGGAGTTCTTTTTTCTTATTTACGTTAAACGATGTGTTATTCACTTTCATTTGTATAAAATAAATATAACTCGTGCATCGTATTGGTTACGTACTAGTACGAAGGAAACAAAACTCAACAGATTGAAATTGTTGTATATTCTATAATTACAAGATCATAAATATTGCCACCTCTCCAAACTTGCATGTATATGGCCCCTCACTAACCTCACAGAATCAAAATTTTGCAGGACTAAAATTGTTGGCACTGCAAAAATAAGTTTGTGGTTAGCAACATAATTTATTCGAAAGTTAGTTGCACAATATTTTTTGTAGCTAATTGATAAAATTATTAAAGTACCTAATTGATGTAGAGCGTGAATAAGAAACGGGAAGAACACAAGAGTTCACGAGCAAAAGTTTTATGCGTGAATAAGAAACGGGAAGAACACAAGAGTTCACGAACAAAAGTTTTATTTCATCGTTCAATAATCTCCTCTCTTCTGCGCAGGAAGAGAGTACATAAAAACAAGAGTCCAGCAATACCCAACTACCAATAATATAAACCTAATAATTATGAAAAATACCCAAAATACTAATAAGGCTTATTAAATAAAAGACTACTAATAAAAGAACATAAATAAGCTAGACACGAAGACGATCAAATTTATTTAAAAATGCTATCGCGGTCTCGTCTCCATCACTACTCGTCCTCTATTTCACCATTTAAGCTTAATGTTTGAAGTTTAAACATCAAACACCTTGCATTGTACTTTCTAATGAATTTCCCCAAAATAGCTGATGACAAGTTTCTTCAACTCAATATCACAAATATTAGAAAAGGCCAAGCACTCGATTCCAGAACCGACATGTGCACCAATGTGAGTGAAGCATGGCCATCCCACATCGGTATACAATTAATCATTTGTAATTTTTTCTTTTATATATATATATATATTTCTTTAAAGAATATTGCAGTGGCAATGGGTGAGTTGAGTGCAATCTCCATCATCATGGTGATCAAATATGGGAGAATAGGACCGCAATGTACAATGAGTGCCAATGTGTGTGTCCATATATAAGCCCACATGCACCATGTGATGAGATTTTCACACCATAAATAAATATAAATATAAAAAAAAATGTGGTTAATATAATTATCATTCATGTCGACGATGAATGATGGCTACTACTTACACACACCCCTTGCAGAACATGGCTCACAAATCTCATCATCATCATGTTATATGGTACAAAAGTGAAAATGGTGGACCTGTCTTTTTGAGACACTTCACGTGTTGGGAAAAAGAAAAGGAAAAAGGATTATAAAGAAAAAGGAAAACTAAGGTTTGTCAACAATGACTCACTAATTTCACTTTGGGATGAGATTGTTACACTTATAGTGGATTAGTTATATCAACAGCCGTTTTTTTTTTTTTTTATTATTATTTTCATTTAGCAGTCAGGAATTGGGTTTGTAAGAATGTGCTTTTTTATCAATTATTTTCACACATACTTAATTCATGCTCAAAATCTAACTTGAATTTAAATAAGCCCTATTATCCTCAATATTATTAATATAATTAAATAATATCAACCAAACATTCTTATATAATTTTAATTCATTATTCATCCACTCACATAATATTTTTAACTAACCATCATTTCACATCATCTCTCGCATACTTTTACATCAAATTAATTTTAATTATTTTATTTTAAATATTATTTTAATATAAACTCAAAATTTTACTAACAATTAACCATACTAACTTTTTCAAAGTTAATCACGGTTAACCAATAAAATTCGTTTTGAACAGATATATTTGTATACAAACACGCCCTATGTTGCTTGTATATAATCAATTGATCCATGCACTTATGGGATGCTTGGTTAAGAGTTAAAACTGATCATAATCAGTTTTGATTTGATCAAATTTTTCTTTATCTCACTTTAACTAGAAATATAACTCAATCATATTATCTTCAATATTACCAATATAATTAAACAATATCAATAATATCTCTTCTACATCGCACCAACTTTAATTCCCTATTCATCAACTCACATATTTTCTCACTACCTATCACTTCCATCATCTCTCTCATATTTTCAAAATCGCACCAACTTTATTTTTTACATTTTAAATATATTTAATTTCACTATCATTCATTCCACTCAATCAACTTTATTCAAAATAACTTACTTTAACCATCAAATTTGTATCTTAAGAAGAGAACATTGCAGGTAGGCGTTGGTTGACTATCAGTGCTCATTTATCTGAAGAAGGGGACATTGCAGTGGACTGTGTGGTGACCGAAACTAAAGACAACAAGCTTCATTGGGAGGGACACATAACAGGTACATTTGTAAAAGTGCCTAAATGTTATGTGCTATGCTTGAAATGGGTGTGAAACCAAAATAAATAAGTAAATAAATAAATAAATCTATTATTGTTTATATACATATCATGAATATAACTTACAATTTATTTATAAATCATCACTACAAAAAAACTGTATTATTCCAACGGAAATTTTCCGTTGGAATAGATATTCCAACGGAAATTCCGACGTATAAAGATCCGTTGGAAAAACGGCCGTCGGAATAGCTAAAATCCTACAGAAATTCCTGTGAAAATTAATTCCTACGGCCGTTCCAACGGAAAATATCCGTTGGAGTTCCTCAACATTTGAAATGTAGTCCAACAGTTATTCCATCGCTTATTCCTATGGTTATTAAGCCGTTGGAATTGGTTCCAACGGCTATTCCAACAGAACATAGCTGTTGGAATATTCCAATGCTTCTTCCTACGCATGTGAAATAAATGTGGCAGAATTCCAACGGCATTTTTCCGTTGGAATTCCGTAGGAATTTGCCCTTAATAAAATCATACATCTAGTGCAAAATCATATATCCTGAATAATAAAAAATATAAAAAACTGATTAACCAAGAAAAAAAAGCATATATTAACCAAGAAAAAAGAAAGAGATAGTCATATACAAAAGCAAATCACAAATCATGGATAAATCATCTCCAAATCATATCATATTAACTTCAAATTCAGCAACCTGATATTCTAATCATTCTAATGTCAAAAGCATAACCATCATTCTAATGTCAAAAGCATTACTGACATGATAACCATCATTCTCCAAAACATGTATAAAATTTGCGACAAATGTTACGACATAAATGAAAAGCTCCTAAATGCCGTCGTAATCATCTCCAAATTCTTCTGTACAATCATTGTCATGATTAGTGGGAGGCACTGCTGAAGAAGACACCTCTTGATTAGTGTTGTGAAGTTTCTCGAGTAGGCTGCGAAGTGAGGACAATTCACTCTCTAATTGCACGTTTTGTTTCTCCAATGCACTCATACGATCGTTAAGCTTTTGGACGTCAATCACACAAGAACCTGAACATGTAGAGTTGTAAAATGGCACCTCGGACCCAAATCCATAAGCTAACCCTTTCTTGTTGCAACCTCCATTTGCTTCATAAAAGCATGTTGAGTCATCAATAGTAATGCCTTGTGAAACTTTCAATGCCTTTAGCTTTTCATAAGCATCCTGCATATGAACAATATAAGTCACACAGGACTATTACCAAAGCCATATTTCAAGAAATTAAAAAGCTACAAATTCTACAAACTTTGCAGGCTTACATATGTTTTCTGCGCTTTAGCAGTAATCCATTTTTTCGTTTTCTCGTCATAATTGACCTTGAGAAAAACTTCAGGAATGCTCACACTTCGTCCCAATTCTTTTCCCTAAAAAAAAAAAGAAGAAATGATGATTTTAAGAACTAGGGAGTGAAAGAAAATAAAAAATGAGACTAAAAACAAAGTAAATGATAAACTTACATAACGTCGTCTTCGCTCAGATGTAGAAATGGCACCCCCTCGATTCAAATAACCATCTTTATTAAC